TGAATCCGCAGTGAAAACCGCTACACTCCATTATGTGCTGACGCATGATATGTGCAGAAGGACAATGTCTTTTAGCAGGCCAGAGGACCCCAGTCTTGCCGAAAAAATCCAGGAGAGGCCACGTGCTATGTGCAACTTCATTCTCCCACCATCTTGTTCTACAGGAAACAGAAAACCAGCAGAATATAACTGACAATGCTGGAGGTGCACATCAAAAAAATAAAGGGGGAAAAGTTGCTTGCGTCTTTCCTCCAGCAGCATCCGTTAGAAAGAGATAAGCCACTCTGTTGTCTCTTGAACAGCTTGTTTAGTTTATGATGTTCACAATGTGGTTGACTAAGCAACTGACATCTTCTGGTATCAGCAAACTCGCCCCACTTTCTCTGATGGCATTGAAGCCCTGAGTTTCTGAGAAGCAACGATAGATGCCCAGATGCCCAACTCTAATGTCATGACAGGCAACCGATGGATGGCTCCTTTTCGTTCCCTCCTAACAGATCAGGGTTTTTCCCTTTCTCCTGACTCTGAGGAGCATACCAGTATCTTTTTTTTTTTTTAATTCCCACAAGAATCCAAATCTACCTTGTAACAAAGAGCTGGATTCTGGCTCTGTTATCTGATACGGGAGTCCTTCTCACTCGGTGGTGGCTCCCTACATTCTTCTTGATTGTTGACTCCGTTGCAAGCAGATTCAACAAGTTATTTGAAGAATGGGGTCGAAAGCCTACTAGCCTCTTCCACTGCTATCATCCATCATGGCTATAGAAAGTCCATCTTCCTCACTGTTGTACTGACACAGCAGTGGTTGTATGACCATCTCTTGAAAGAAGATAGCAGATTATGTTATCGGGTAGAAGACATCCATTTATGGAATGCCCTTCCTTAACAAAGGCATCAAATGCTCTTTTTATTAAATTTCAAGCACTGGATTACGACTTCTTGCTTGCCCTGGAACATCACAGGAATCTGGTTTGACAGAACGGCAACCCAAATGAATGGGATTAAGTGCTGTTTTATGTGATCATGTTCTTGGGCTCTTATGTGGTTTTTCGCTAACTCAATAAGCTGGTGGAATGATTGCCTTGTGCTTTTTTTTTTTTTAAAAAGAAAGTATGTTGTTTATTAAGACCTCTTAAACTGATTGTTCTATTTCTTACTGCAAGAACCACTTTGGAAGGGTAGCTGAAATTGAAGACGTGGGCTACAGTTGACGATGATCGCTGAACTGGCCTGCCTCTGGTTGAGCCTTGATAATGTTAATGATGCTTTAAACAAAGCAGTTGGTTTTTGCTATCCTGCTAGCCCGTAGTTAATACCAGGAACTGATTTACTACAGCCACAAGGACCGGTGCCATTTTAACACGTACACATTGTCCAAACTGACTGCCAAAAAGTTTGCGGGCCCTTGGCCGTACCTATTAGCTTTTCTGCTCCCTATCAGTTACATGGTTCATTGTGTCCAGATGTACAGCAGCGGGCTTCAGATGCGGTGATAAGCCACAGTTGGGTTTACCATGGTTTGCTGAATAAGCCACCGTTTGCACATAATTATATAATATTCCCACAATGTTACAAAATGCTTGGTGTAATGGGTCTATGCTTGGGGGGTAGACTTTGAATGTCTAAAATGATAATATTGCAAGAAATATCTGCATTTATATCAGCTTGGTGCAGGGGTTAAAGGCACCCGGTGAGAAACTGGGAGACCCTCAGTTCTAGTCCTGCCTTAGGCATGAAGCCAGATGAGTGACCTTGGGTCAGTCCCTCTCTCTCAGCCCTAGGAAGGAGGCAATGGCAAACCACTTCTGAAATCTTGCCAAGAAAACTGCAGGGACTTGTCTATGCAGTTACCAGGAGTCATGATTAACTGGAAGGTGTGCGCACACACGCACGTGCACACACATATACACCCAGAAGAATCTATATATCTACATCTTTAACTATCTAGGTCAGGGATAGCAACTTTAAGATGTGTGGACTTCAACTCCCAGAATTCCCCAGCCAGCATGCAGTTAAGGGGGAGCCTCTTCTAGGAGTTAGATCAGTGTATTTACACTTGGCAACTTTAAGATGAGTTAAACTCTCAGAATTCTGGCATGCTGGCTGGGGAATTCTGGGGGTTGAAGTCACATCTTAAAGTTGCCAAGGTTGAGAAACCCTGACCTAGATACACACACAAACATACTATATGCACATATATGCTTTCAGATTTTCTCCTGATTTTTAAACTTGCTTTGATCCTTTGGCTATCCATGTGTATTTTTTATGTGAAACAATCAAAGGCAGAAGAAACTTTGCTAAGTTAGAAAACAAATGGGGTGGACAGGAGACGCCTGAAGGAAGAGGAGCCTACGTGTTTCGTAGGTGCTTGGCTCAACTGGGAAAAGCTGCTTCGCTTTTCTTTGAGTCAGGCGGCCACCCCACGTTTTTTCTTTTCAGTGTTTTTTAAACTTGGCAACCTTAAGACGTGTAGACTTCAACCCCCAGAATTCCCCAGCCAGCATGCCAGAATTCTGAGAGTGTAACTCATCTTCAAGTTGCCAAGTGTAAAATACACTGATCTAACTCCTAGAAGAGGCTCCCCCTTAACTGCCCCTGCTTGGAGTCTGATCTCCTGAGGTTTAAGAAGGCCCTTAAAACACTTATTTTTTACGGGCCTTTAGGAAGCTGAAAGGATTTTTCCCCCCACTGGCATTACTTGATGCCAGTTTAAGTTATGGTAGTACAAGGATTAAATGGTGTTTTCAATTGATTATTATATTATTGATACCCGTTTTTATTGTGTTCTGATTTTTATTGTTGGTTGGTTCTACACTTAGACTCAAGTGTAATAAAAACACTAAGCACTAAATGTCATACAGGGCCTTTTAAAAGCAGCCTGTATTGCTTGCACATAAGGCTGCGTGCCATGAAATGTCTATGTCCAAAAGAATTCCTTGTTTGTATGCGCTCACCCTGTTTTCTACACGGGTCTGTGCATCACCAAAACGGCGGTTTCATCTCCAGAATTTGGGGCTACCCATCGCAGCACAACAAACAGCACAATCTTGGCAATCTAATCAGTGCAGTGCAAATACAGTGTTCACCATGGAAATGCTAATTTTGCAGCCAGGGAGAAGAACCAATTCCGCATTCAGCTGATAACAAGCATAGGCTGATGTGAAACGTTCCGGTCTCAAACAGCTTTGTGTTTTATAGAATATGCACTTCCTTGTGTGACAAAAGGTGGGGCAGATGCCTCTATAAACAAAGCAGAAAGTGAGCATTCCTGAACCAAGCTCTGAAGTGTTTAGTATAGATGGTAGATAAATTCATTTCGCAGGCTTTGTACAGTACAGCAGTACAAATATGTGCAAGATATAGTACGAAACGTCAAAATGACGGCCGTGATGGTGCAATGGAAGCCCTGTCCATTTTTAATGTTTCACATCTGCAAAAAAGTCAAGATGGTGGCCACGACAATGCCATTGAAGTGCTGCCCACTTTGTGCTGTCACGGCCATCTTGACTTTTTTGACCCTATCCTGTGGACATCCCTGGTACAAAGCCAAAACCAGAGCCATTATAGACTGGACTGGCTTTATACATTTAATAACAACAACAAGAAAGGTTGGCTGATTTTGAAAGCTAAGCAATATGCCTCTGGTTACTAGACGGATGGGAGACCACTAGGAAAGGAAAGGCAGTCACTTTAGGCTGGGACATCAGAAAACTTCCCCTGAGGCAATGATAAAACCCAAGGCCCAGAAAACAACACAGGAAAAGCCCCCAGAAGTTGAGCACAACTTTAAAACGCTATTCTTCCTCACCTTTTTTTCCCAACTGGAATTTCAAAATAAGTTATGCCCTCCTCTGTTGCAACTCTCGCTGGTCAAAACAAGGAAGTGGTGACTTTTCTGCTGGTCACGCAGCTGTTAAAAACCTCGGCACCTGGCACAGAATTCCTCCTTTTAATTATTTAATAATTAAGTCCTTACACTTAATGATTTTTAGCTGCCAGACTGAGAGCCCCCTTAAGCCTGTCTGATCAGCCCAGAACCTCATGTCTTAACCAGAGGCCCAATTTGAACGCATAAAAGTCACAAGCCTTGTGGTGAAGTCCTAGCACAGGGACCACTTTCGGTTTTCTAGCTGGTTGCTCGCTTCTCTTTTTCTAAAGAGCTTACGAAAGGGAAAAAAAACAAACTCTGTGCCGTGCAATGTTTGTGCGAGCAGGAATGGAGGAGGGAGCAATTGTGCAAACTTGTAACTTCTCTAGGCCAGTGGAAATCCCCAGAAACAAGTCTGGACTTCTATTACTTCACCTTGAGAAACCACAGTGTTTTGAGAACCACTTTTCCTCTGTTCTGTCGATTCCAGCGGCCCGTTCTCTGGCCCAGCATTTCTCGACCTTGGCAACTTCAAGATGCCTGGACCTCAACTCCCAGAATTCCCCAGCCAGGGGAATTCTG